CATCTTGAGGAGTTTGCCCCCTCACATATACTAATGTGCCACAAACAGGACTTTAATATCACCAACCATCCCCATGTTATTACAGTGTATCCATATAAATGGCCCACCTTGTATATATGGTCTAATCATTAAATAAACACCACATGCTCAATTTTGTTGTTTTATTATATTAACATTGTTACAGAGGGAAACAAAACTCTCCATGTTCTTATGTAAACTGATGTAAAACTACATATGTTTTTCTTTCTGCATACAAATGTCCGCTGGAAACTTTTCGAGACAAAATTCATTTCTGTGTTCAGCACCTTTCATCTCACAATTGTGTTCTTACATCCAGCGCAAATGTACTGTAAACAAAACAGCACGTTAAAATGTAACAAGCAAATAACAATATAACCAATCAACATAACTAATATTCCACTGGCAGCTAACAAATAAAATTACAGAACATACAACAAGCAACAAATACCCCAACAAATTACTCAAGCAACAACTAAAATGCACAAATACCAACACAAAGAAACTCATGCAGACAACTGACATTATTTTCTTTCAGAGGTCAAAGCTAAGTGTGGATTAAAAATGATACAAACAGTTTCATTTTCTGGCTGATAAAAAGGTAAGAGACAACAACTAAACTAATAAATCCAAGGAAAAGGGCTCTTGTTTTGCATTATCTTCAAGTGTGGCACTTCTTATTGTCAGTTTTTCTGTAGTTAACAGTTATATTGTTACCTTAGTACTTAACGGTGATAACATTATATGTAAAGAATCTGAAATTCTACTCTGCTACTTTTCTATATAAATCTCTCCATCTATGTTTTATAAAGCTTGCTGTATGCATTATACATATTAAAATGCCCTTCTGTTCTTATATACTGCCTCCAAAATTCAAGGAGTTTGACTACAGACACAATGATAAAATGGGGGGTGTCAACATTAGGTACAGAAATGGATTATTGTAGCTAATACTGGTTTTCTGGTTTGAAGTCCTAAATGTTCACAGGGAAGCGCTGACAAGGTATTTGTTATTTTTGCTGTTTACTGGGCTTCAAGTGAGGATTTACGGAACTTTTACGTCTAAACTGCAGAAAGGGTTCAGGAATTTAGCTTGGTAATACATATAATAAGTATTTTTTGGACAGCTGAACCTGAAGTCAACCTGTGGACAACGTTTGGAACAACTCATTTTCCAAAGTTTATTATATCCGTAAAACATGGTGGAGGCAGTCCAATGGCACTGGGTCACTAGTGTTTATTGCTTTAGTGACCAAGGACATAAGCAGCTGGATTAATTGTTAAGTATATGGCTATGTAATATAGTAACACTATATTTTTTTTTATGCCATTGAATAAAAGCTCAGCTTAGGTCAGTACTTTTTAAAAAATCAAATAATGAAAATAAAATTAAACTGATTGGGTACTGAGGTAAAATTATAACGACTGTGTTACTGTCCAAATATTGCTGAAAAATATGTTTGAGCATTTTCGCAAAGTAAGGAGTCACATTTAAAGCTGAGCATGTGATAAATACACTGCTGTGCTTTTACTGCCAAATGTAATGACAAAACCACAGCTGCAGAACCTGCATGACACAATGACCCACTTTCCTCTTCTCTTTTTTTCTTTCACTCCATGCATTGACATCCCATTACTGAAAATCTTTCTCTTCCTCCTCCTATAGCTTTGACTTTTTCTTGTTTTCTTTGTGTATTAACAACCAGCTTGTTACTGCTCAAATACATTGTAGTCGACACAGATACTCCCCACTTCCTTTGCTTTACCTATGTCTAGTAGAAAAACAGTCTTCTTCAACTGCATGATATTTTCATTTTAATTGTGGGTGACAGAGTCCTGAGCTGTGTTCTGAGGAGGGTTTGCTGCTGGTTGGCTGTTGCTGAACATCAGCTTCCTCAGGATGTCAGCATAGAAAGGTCCATAGACTGTCTTGTTGTAGTTGACCAGGGAGATGAACTTTGCCCCAATTATTGCTAGTTCAGGCTTGATAGCAGTCAAACCAGCTGGTACTTGTTCAATTTTGGACTGAGGTTTTGGGTCAGAAATGAGTGCCATGAAGTACTGCTGCACACGGTCCTCTGCAGAAAAACCACAGCAAGCGTTTAGTCAATTACATCAATTTCTCAACTAAATTTTTTTTTAAGAAGTTAGTCTTTCAGCTTATTCTCTCTTACCAACTAGGGTTCGGATGGGATTATCCTTTTGGGTAATGTTGCAAATCTGGCCTGTGAGGGTGCCCTGCAGCGCTGGGGTCAGTGCAGGGTAGCTCCTCTCTGTTAAAGACTTCTTAAGCTCACAGCAGATCTGAGCACTGATGCCCTCTAGTGACTCTTCTAGGTTAAAGTCCCTATAGGTATAAAAAAAAATCAGTTTAAGATGGAGTTTGAGACAGATATGTCTGAAAATAGTCTGACACAAAGGTACTGACGATCTGTGCATCCCATCCAGCAGCACACTGATCATCCTCTTCAGGCGGTCAGACAAGGATGGTAGACCCTGGATAGGCCCCCCAATTGTGCTGTAGACAATGAGCAGCACCTCATTCACAGCCTGACATTGCTGAAGCTGCCACTGAATCTCTTGGAGACGGATCTCATCTGTCATCCACGTCTAATGGAGAAGATTGCACCAATAAAATCTCCAAAGCACAAATTGTCTGTAAAATCTCTAATCTCTCAGCTATGTAAATATTTTTTTTAAATAACGAGGAGAGAAGCTGACATAAACATAAGATCCTTCTCTTAACTACATTTACAACACACTACCTCAGGCGGTGGGCTCTTGGAGTAGTCCCATGTGAGGATGCGAATGAAGGCAGCGTTGAGAACTTGAAATGGCCCAGGCACCACTGGTTGTCCTTTTCCAGGACCATTAGTCTGTTTTGTAGGGGCGATGGATGACTGCAGCTCCTCCAGTGCAGACTTGATCCAGGAGGTAGTGCGGTCTAAAGCACCTGAGAAAGTTTCATATTAGCGCAAGTCTAGCAGGGTTTCAGTTTTTCACTTTGACACATACTGTAAAGAAAAGATGGCATAGCCACTGTGACATCCTCCACTGGACTTTGGACTCTCTTTTTAAAGTTTTGAGTTGAGCAGTTAGAGTTTGTTTTGTTATAAATAGATGTACTGGGAGGTCAATATGACAGTTTTTGCTTCATTTCAGTCTGAAAGTCACACACAAAATATAAAAAAAATATATTCTCAAATGTAGACTCTGTAACAAACACCTCAATAAAACTGTGGCATATTTTCTGTATTTTTGTGTGTATAAAAGGGTGCTAAAGGTTATATATAAAGAAGAATGTAGTGTTATTCACTCACTGGGTGTTTTGTCCAGGATGCTCTGAAACTTTGCCCTCTCGTATTCGACACTTTGCCTCTGCAGCACAGGTCTCAGGTTTTCAATTGTACAGTTGACCATGTCCGCTCTCATCAGGCTCAGCACACGGAATATTTCCCTAATGTGTAGAAATAACCAAGATGCTATGAATAATTTGCTATTATTATTAAAAAATATTACTATTAAACAGAACAGGTCAGACAGTAAATACAGTCACTGTTAATGTATATTGGATGCAAGCATTGAAATATTTTGAAAAGTGTGCGCTTACTTAAAAAGCGTCACTATGTTATCTGTGCCCTCTCGTAGCTTCTTGATTTCCTCATCCCTCACGGGTGCACACATCTTGCCCATGGTTGTGATAATGTAAGAGGCAAGTCCCTGGATGTCTAGAGCATCGTTGTCAGCCTGCTGACGAATCAGGTCCATGTCCAGCACCTCCATGATCTGGGTCCGCATCCGATTGGCACCCGGATTAAGGAATGACAATAAGATCTGTTTGTCAAGAGGGGGAAAAAAAGTTGTTTTAGAATATTAGAACTCAATACTTAAGTAATATTAATTTTTAGTATATTAATATATTCACTAGTTACAGAAAAATATTTGAATGCATGTGGTGACCTCTCTGATCTCCTCCACTAATCTGATGGCTTGTCCATATTCAGGAGGGTCGTCATTCAGCTCAGCCTCCAGGATATCCCAGAAGGCCTTGTGAAGATTATCTCTCACTGCCTTTAATAAACTAAAAGAAAAAAATATAAATAATAGGGGGTTTATCTGAGTAAAACTGCCATTTATAAAGCATACTTTGATTTTGAGTTTTATTTTATTAACTTATCTTGAGAGTATTAGGCTGGTAAATTAACTTTTTTTCTCTGAAGGAACTAAAATGATTTTCTTGGATCTTCCTTTCTTTTGATATAACTAAGTAACACTACTATTTAGTAAGTAACTAAACAGTAGTGCAACATTTGGTGTTTTCTGGTTGTACGCCAATCATAAACACTCCCAGACAAGTTCCTGCAAATATACTGTAGATGCAAATCATGAAAGCATGTCTTCAATGACAAAATTCAAATCTTTCCTTCTTCTCAGAAAGTGTGTGTTTGTTACAGGATGCTATGATGTTTGAAGATAAACTTGTCAACTTAAAATTGTGTTACCCACTGGGAGCTTGAGAATAAATAACAGTGAGTCTTTGGATCTCCCTTTTCTTTTCTAACTCTAAATTCTCGCACATTATCATCAGACACAGACAGTTGGTATAACAAGACTCACATTTATTTTAGTTTATAACCATGTTTAAAAAGGTAAACATGATTTTTAAACGCTACAAAATCTCTATGTTTGTACAAAGCACAGAAAGCAGCATCAGCTCTCCCTGATACCTAACATGTTCTTTATTATGGAAAAATCTGAAATGTAGTATTGGTGTGGTATTAATATTGCAAAACGTGACACTAGTAAGCACAGGCTTTTGTCATATTTTACCTGTCCTGAGGTAGGCTATTTGGCTCCAGGTGGAAATTGCGGTTCATAACAATCTCATGGGAGAGGCTGAGATTGAAAAGGTCTCTTGCAGACTCCATGACTTCGTCCAGTGTTAGGGTTTTGGGTGGGCTTGCTGTGGGAATCAAATATTTGCTGATTTATAAATTGGGGGAAAAAAGCATGTCCGACTATTAAAGATGACAGTATAGAGCACGGATGTCAAACTCCATTTACACCGTTCATACATACAGCTCACTTAAGGTAACCAGTGAAAGTCGGTCTTTATGTCAGTGAACAGAAGTGTAACAACGCATTTAATCCTTGGCATTTCACACTTCTTTTTCTTAATATAATAAAAAGAAGTCTAATAATAATAATCGTGTTTCAGTTTTTCCACATGATGAAGAAGAATGAATGATGCAATAGTAAAAGAACAGTACGACTTTTTCGACTTAAACTGTAAGAAATGAATATGTAAAATGACAGACAAAGTTTCCCAGACTGTCCTGCAATTACAAAACAGAAAGTTTCAGTTCATTAACTGAACATGTTAGATATTCTTATTCAATCTTCTTATATAATTGTTATTTGTTATATCTGGATTGGAGTCTCTGTCAGGCTTATTCTGGCACCCGGGACTTATGTTTTGATGCCCCTGGTGTAGAGGGTGGTAGCTTTCTTACAAGCCTTTATATTAAATACAGTCATTAACCCCTAACAACAACTGCAAACAAAACAGCAGATTAAATTTAATTTTTTTTTTACCACTCAGACAGGGTCATCAAAAAGAAAAAACACAAACTTGGATTATATGCAGTGAGTTTATGCATATTTCAGTGAGAAAGGGAGGGGGACAGACTCACAGGATGGGCTACAATGCTTGCTGGAGGAGTCACTGGTGAAGCTATCACGTGAGCACTCCAGGTCGCTGTTCAATGTCATGCTGTCGCAGCGCTCTGACGATGACTCCACATCACTGCCTTGGTCCTCACCGCTGGATGTGGAGTTAGGCCGCTCATCATTTAAAGGCATTTTGGATTATAGCTGCAAATAACAAGTCAGTAAAAACTTAAAAGGGATTTCCTACCACAGAGTTTAATTCAATATGTTCCGAAGATCCAGACATTTAAATGATAAGCACTGAGATACTTTCGAGGGAATCCTGCATAAACTATCCTTTAGCTCAAAATACTCATTAGAAAACCAAAATTTCCATGACACAATCTTACCATCATTTTACCTGAGCTCGTCTGAGAGTGAGATAGAGTGTGTGACTGTTGCAGTTTTTGTTACCAAGGCAGAGTGTAACAAAAACACCAGTCATACCTAGTGAAACAGCTGGAGGGCACCATTAAACAGACAAAGCTGCCTTGTTGCAAACACTTTCAACATATTATTAAAGTCAATGATGGTGCATGACGTAAGTCACTGAAAAATAAAAATAAATAATAATAGTGTATAGTGTGGTTCAGTGTTTGTTTGCTGCCACCAGGGTTTAAATCACAATACAAAGTCTAGACATAAACAGAACACATTTCCATATAGGTTTACACAAAAGCCTTTATGCCTGTGCCTATCTATCCAATGTCAGTTGCGTCCCCAGGACAACATGGGACAACAGAGGGCTCCGCAACTGTCAAGATGATCGTGTTACACTTCTCACTGTGCTGTTGTTTGTTTTCCACAAATACACATAGGAAAGAAGGGTAAAGATGATGAGATGTGCACATTTTTAAAGTTATTGTAAAGACTGTTTACCACTGTTAAAAAAAGAGTAACCCACTTAAACATTACTTGAGTACTGTAACAGGTTAAATCAAGCCTGCAGGCCTTTCTAATATAGCCTAAGACATACAGTGCTGGCAGAATGACCCATAGGTGTTCCTATCCTCTGGCTCAGTTATCTGCTGCCAAAAATGAATGCACACTCCCTGGCAGCTCTTGCAGTTTAAAGATAGCTCAAGGGTCGAGAAAAATGGGTGTGGGGAGCCTTTTTATTACATCATATGCTAGACTTGACAGCTAGGTCAAAGCCATGCAGCAGGCCAATTTTCAGAGATTATCCAGAGGGATGAAAGCAGAGTGATCCAGAAAACTGATTACGGATTAGGCGTACTCTGTCATCTGCAGCTTCTTTATGAGAAAGCCTCTTTAAGCAGTTCAGATGCTAGGTAGAGTAAAATGCATTGTCCTGTTATAACCAGAAGGATGCAATCTAAGATAAATGAACATATCGTATAATTTTCCCAGATGTTTTGGAAACATATCTGAGCGAATATGTCATCGAATAAGAGGTACAGTCGCTCTTACACGCACACGCACACACACACACGCACACACACACACACACGCACACACACACACACACTGCTACATCAACTTCTGCAGGAACAAAGACAGCCTTTTGGGGTCCAGATCTGACTGCGGTATAATGTAAACAAAGCAGTGAATCAGGAAGGCAGGGCTAGATCCACGGGAACTCTCCTTATTGGTTGCAGTTCTCCGTCTCTCAGCCCTACATGGAAACCCTTTGGTTGCACAGCTACGAACGTGGATAAAAAAAATATCCACACACGCGTAAGAAGTGGGTACACGTGATCCGAGGTGCAGACCAAAACAAGAACTCCGTGTACAATACAAATAGTATATTGTATCTGATCATGACAGAATCCACAGAAAAAGAAGTGCGGAAACAATAATGCGTTACGCTCTCCCTTCAAAATACATCTGATGCATCCGTCAAACTCAGCACTATGTCAGTGTTATATAATTGTCTTTGTTACTTGACTAAATCCCCTGGTTTACAGCTTAATGTGAGTCATAAATGTCATTAATTTCGTACACCAGCTGTCACTGGTATGCTATCTGTCAGAACCGTCAAATACTGTACTCTTCTTCCTGTTTCACAACAAAGCGACGGAAAACTTCGCTGCAGACACCATAAACTAAGTCACAAGCACAAATGTCTTCGAGAAACGCGATGTTTACCTCATTCAAGTCACTAGAAAGTGAAGCTGACAGCGAAAATAGCCCCGCTCTGAAGAGAAAAGTCGCCGTCGTCCTTTTTAAAGGTCCTGTTCTGATTATATTTATGGTGGTTGGCAATGGTGCATTACCAGCACCAACTGGAATGAGTGAGCTCTGCAAAGGGAATTCAAGTGTTCAATAATAGTAATAATAAATAAAAAAAAGAAAAAAACGAGAAAAGAGGAAAATAAAGTTGTCTCCTCTTGCGTTTGCCTCTCTGTTTAAAGGTCCTTCAGTAGCCCAGCTGGCTCTGAGAACTAGCGGCCGAAACCATTTTACACACGGGTGTGTTCAACTGCCAAAATAAAGGCGATTCTAGGAATTGTCTTTAAAAAAAAGAATATAATTAATTTAAAAAGAATCTGCAATTTAAAGAGAGCAGATACAATAATATGCAGACATTTAGTTCAGAAAAGGGTAATGTAATAATATGGTCTTCATTTTATCAAGCTGTCGAAAAATGGTACACCCCGCCCTGCTTTTCCAAAACGTCTGTGTTCACGTGGGTTGTTTTGTTTACGGATGTAACCTCAGAACCTTTACAGTATTGTGTGATAGTGTGGACGCATGTGCTCCTATTATTTCCCTTAACATAAGACCCCTAAAAAATATACGGGTCTTAGGTGGGAGGTTTTTATTATATTAATACTACAGTATGGTCATTGTGTGGTTATATGACATCTTGAGAAAAGATCCAGATGCTTAACTTGTGACAAATTGAGTCATGTTTCCAATGGCAGCACATCTTAAATATAAAAACGGCAAAAATTGTATTTTTATTCGACTTTAGGCATTGTTATAAAAAAATTCATTTAAAAACGAAACAAAACAAATAAAACAAAAACCTTTCGGGGTCTTTTGCGCGTATGGCTGTTGTAGCCTCTGGGGGGCAGCAGCGGGGTTAAGTCGGTTCAATTTAGACGAAGAAGAACGTGATTACGTCACATATAGAGTTTCGTGATGGCGCTTGATTTGACTCCTCGGTTTAGAAGGTTGAACAGCCAAACTCGAAGCTTTCGTGAAAATCTACAGCATGGTAAGATATGAGTTTCGTTTTAACGAGTTTCTTATTTACAGCTATGCTATGCAAACATAGCATAGCAATTAAGACACATGCTAGATGGAACTAGTGATAATTATAAACGCGGTTGCCACCACAAACACATCGTTATCAGTGGGGGTTGTAAATTAACTTTCAACTGTAGTTTTATAAAATAAAGTATACAATTAAAATAGTCTCGTAAAGTACTTAGTAGTACATAAACACCGTAACACCGGGAAAATGACGTGCAGTGTAGCTTTTACTTACTAGTTCAATTCATTTCATTTCAATTCAAAATTTATTTATACAGCGCCACATCACAACAACAGTTGTAACCCTGACCCTTTCAAATTAGATGGAGGAAATATTACAAACTCCCCTTATCCTTCAAACTTTTAAACAAGTCATTAACATTCAACAATTACCTTTGGCTACAATAAAGCAAGTTCTAGTTTAAACTCACTGGAGTCACTTTTTCTTCAAACCTCTGTTTCTTTAATTACCAACAGGCTTCGCTGGGCCCTTTGGTGCCACCCAGCTGTGGCACAACATCATCCAAGCCCTACAGACTCAAGTGGAAGTACGCAGCTGCAGGAGACATTTACGTGTTTACGCTGAATGTTTCACAGGCTCAGACGCTGTGGACGCAGTTCTCAGTTACTTGATGCAGAACGTGGCATTTTGCACAAGTGAAGTTTCTCGTCTCAAAGCTGCTCGGCTCTGTCAGGCTTTGATGGAGGCGAAGGTATTTGAACCAGTAGGCACAAAGCTGTTTCGTAGGGACAAGGAGGTGACCTTTGAGGACAGCAGCTGCAGTCTTTACCGTTTTCTGGAATACAAAGGATTTTCGAATTCTGATGTGAAGGGAAACATTGATGCAGAAAACATCCCAGAACAGCAGGAGATAAAAAGGAAGAGGAGCTCAAGGTGAGTTTTACATAAACTCCTCTCAGTTCTGTTACATTGGTGCTTAATTTACATTTATTTCCCAGTATTAAAGCATGTGAAAAACTGATAGTGCTGATTTGAACACTGAAACTCTCATCTTTGCAGAATAGGTGTATTATGATTTTTTTTTTTAGTACATTTTTTGCATTTATCTTAATGTTCTCATTTCATAGCTAAGACATTATAAACATCAACACTCATACTAAGTATTACAACATTTAGTATTTATATTTTTATTTAGGAAAAAAAGAAACATATACACAGAACCAAAGTGTTTGTTATCATCCAAATGTTTCCTGTTCTTTCAGGAGGCTGAATGAATTAAGAACAATTGCCAATCCTCTTGCTGTTGGATCATCAGACAGAAGGGTGGAAAGATTGCTAAGGGCCATCAATCTGCAGCCATCCTTGTCTGCAGCTCACAACAGAACCACCACATCTTCTACCTTTCTTTCCAAAACTGGTAATGAGGAAATGTGCTGGTATAGTAATTGTTGGGGGGGGGGTCATTTTGAGTGGACAGATATTTTTCCTAAATGTTTTTGCTTTTGTTTATTTTGTTCTTTCTTCTTTCCATAGTGTCAGATCAGGTTTGGAAGCAGCAAACCGTGTTGCAGCTGCTGCAGTTAGTAGAATTGCCAGTGTTGGACTGCATTCTTACCTCTCCTGAAAGAGTTCATCCCCAAACCTGCAAAGTTCCTCTGGCCAACCAGGATCTGGTTATCTCTAACACATGCTTGGAACGAGAGCTGTCTGACACCCTTCCCCTACCCCAGTCAGTCCTCTGATTCATCCCTTGAGGCTTTTGCACTTTGGCTTGGGACCTATTTGTTCATGTATTCCATTACACCTGTAGTATGTTCTTTCCTACTTTTTTTCCAGGTTGGATGAGTGGCTGTCAGCAGCAGCAGACTGTTTGGAACTCTTTCCCGACCAGCTGATCGTGGTTGCAGGAGAACAGCTAAGCCTGCAATGTGGAAATGCATCTTTGGAGGATCCCAGTGCAGAACATATGACAAGCAAGAAGAGGCTGTTGTTTGATACCATTGCCAAATACTACAGTGGACAAGAAAAATCTCCACTCATTTCAGGGCGTTACCTGGACATACATATTGCAGTTCTGAATTTACTGGGTAAGAACCAAAAGAGCTAAGTTTAAGTTTATAGTGGCTTTCTGATTTATGGTGTGGAGCATTAAGTGACAGGGCTGTGATCTGTACCACAGGTTTTTTTTTTTCCAGTCATGAAGGTTAATACTTTGCTTGTGTCTTTTAATTTCCAGATGAAGGGAAGCTACAGGATGCCATCAAAGCATCTCAATTGTGTTTGCGGCTGCTGGAATCAAGTCTGAGAGATGAACTGCAAAGACTTCTGGCCTTCATGGTGATAGCAGCTCGCTCAGATGCTTGCCGTCTGCAGAAACAGGTCAGCAGCATCCTCTAAACCACACTGCCAGTTCCATCTTTTTGCACTCTTATAGAATAATAAAAGGCAAATAGTCCATATAGAAAATAACTGAACATGTTTGAAGCTGTTTCACTGAATAATCTGATAGTACCGTAGCTCTATTTTGTAAAATTATAAATGAAATTTATAATTTTTTGTCCTTTCAGACTGATAACAGATCCTTGGTGTGCCGCACATTTCAGAGAGCTCTTGTTCAGAATCATGAATTGACTCGATCACAGAGTGAAGCTCTGGTGTTCTTTCTCATGGACAATCACTCTGAGCTCTTCAAGGTAAAATTCTGTGCTCTCAGAACTACATTGAAATAGTCTTCTTAGACAAACATGCGTTTCTGTCTGGATTTCAACCAGCCTTAAGTTTACTTTTTAATGTCTCTGCAAGTACCTGATAGTTGTTACAGTGTTTCCTTTTACTCTCTGGTCTTATCTTGCAATAATGATAGACACCTACAACCCTTATTGAAGCTGTGAGGAGAACACTGAGGACTGTGCAGCAGGGAAAAGATCCTGACTCATTTGCTAGTAAGTTCAATGTTAATTACACTCTGGCAAAGCATCACACAGTACACCATCAGATGAGATAACCGCTCACTATGTATAGATACACTGTACTTCAGTTTTTTGTGTACCTAACTGTATTTGGAAACACTGTTGCTCCAGATCCACAATAAAAACAAAACAAAACAAAAAACCCCACTGTGCATCCTCCATGAAAACCATGAAATCCTCTTCATGTTTTGTTGCAGCGTTCACCTTCTGCCAGCAGGTGACTCCACAGGAATACGAGGACCAGCGTGAGGCTACCACCCTGGAGAGCCTCAAACAACTTCTTCATGACATTTCCTCGAGCAAGAGGATGTCTGCCAAGGAGAAGAGGAGGCTGCTCAAAGAGTTTGAAAAGCATCACCCTGTGGTCTTCCTGCAGCACTTTTCTAGCACTTTCTGAAACACACAAGTAGCTGGGACTGGTTTGACTTCATGGGTGTACTTGGCAAATTCACGCAGTTTCAGGATTTAAAAAAAAAAAGGTTAACCTTAAATGCATTTTATGATTCTAACTAACAAGGAAGTACTGACTTGCATATGGTTACACCTCTAATGTGTAGTATGCAGAGTATCGATACATACTACAAATGCTTTTCAAATGGCATGTTACAATGGCTGTAATCTTTCCAAATCCAAATGAATCACGAGGTAATGATAGCTGAAGTTTTATTTTTAAATTTGCTTGTAACTTGAAGGCAATGAAATTTTAGTTCAGTACATCTGGTCAACAACTGCTGTAAAAAGTATTGCACTAGTTTGAAAACTGTTGTTTACTGTATAATCTATGTCATGATGGTAAATGAAGTATAATTTAAACAAAAAATTGATTGTTGGCACAGATTTTACATTCTACAGTTTAGCTTTACTGCAGGATAAAATCAAGTGTTAAAAGGGTGTAAAGGGAATACTTAAATTTCAGTACTAAATGAATTCTCTCAGCCATCAGATGGTTGTTTTGAGGCAACATTAAGTGAACAGCTTGTGCTTGCAGATTGAAGTGCTCCATTTGGATGTGTAATACTAAACTCTTTTTTTTCAGTGTGCATCAGGCCTTGGGAATAGTGTGCTTTTCTGGGGCTGTACATTTTTATTAAGCATTAATTTCTCTACATCACAAAAAGATGTAAAGATGTTATCCATTTTGAGGCCTTGATTTGGTAGCTGTACTTGAAAGAAAAATACTAATTGTTGTAATAATTTCTTTTTCTGCGAACATTCTAAAAAAATGTTATTATTAAATGAAAGCAGGAAGGGTATTAGGATAACTATCCTCATGTATAATTTTATGGTTAATGACTGTATTTAGTGCCATAATTTAAATATTCTAATTGGAGGTTTTTAGGATTTTTAACTTGAAAGATAGACATTATGACCTCATTGGAAAAAGTGCGGTACTCTAACTGGATATGCTACTGATGTAATTTTTTTTTAAAAATTATAAGCATCACTGTAATGAAGACATGGTTGTAATAAAAAATGTGTCTCATTTTATCATATTTTATTTTCTGAAACACTGAAGTCATCTAAAAAAAAATGCACTTTATGATGCTGAAACATACTTTATTTTGTTTCAGATTAACATGTTTAATAAAGCCTTTCTAAAACTTTAGATGTTGCAGTGTATGTACCACAGTGCAAACTAGAAGTCAATGTTTTGTAATGGAATAGTGAGGATAAATATAAATTATGATTTTTTTTGACACACTTCATCTGTTTCCGATTAGGATTTTCAACACTGCTATTCCTGCAAATGTTTTGTCATTAAGTTAATTCCTATCTGAAATTTAATAAATATTTGAGTGTTCAGTATGAGGGTGACTATCTTTGACTTATTGGTCAAGAATTTATGAAAAAACATTTTTGAAATCTACTTTTTTTTTTTTTTTAGAATATTGGTAACAGGGTTGCACCACACATCGATGGTTTATTATTTATTATTCTCAAATACATAATACAAATTGGTTCCTGTCGTTTTAAACCATGTTTGAAGCCTAAATTATCCTCTAACTACATAATAATCCTTAAAATGCATATTCGTATTCATAGGTTTATATTTTTCTAATAATTTATTATAAACATATTGTTTGAATAAAATGACAAAGTGTGAAATAATGATCGTGTATAAAAGTTAAGTTTTAACTTAGTTAAAATAAAACCGACCCCGAAGTGGTTATTTAAAAAAACATAAAAAAAAAAAACAGAGTACCTGATGACGTTGACGCACCTGACTCCGTTAACAAACCCGGAAGTAGAGCTCTTCGTTCACTAGCGTACCAAGCTAACTCATTTCGTATGCTACTGGAAGACATGGGGGCTGTGTTTTACAGCCATTACTGACAGCGGTACGGCTGAGAGCCCACTTACAATAGGAAGTAAAGCGGAGACCCTTTTTTAATATTAAGGTAAGTAGCTGGAGGCATTCGAAGTGAAAGTTTTATATAGAAATAATCGCTGTTTGACTGGAACGTCAGTCTACTTGCGCATTGTTGGCTAGTTAGCTTGGGCAGGTGACTGCCGTGTTCATGTGGGGAAAAAGGCAACATATTGCAACGATGATGTCTGCGACATAGGTAGGCAAAGGATTAATAGAAGAATTGGAAAGATATCTGTTGACTGCCAGCCGTGCTTTCAGTACTCGTTTGCATTGGCTGTGTGCTAAACAAGATGGTTAACTTGGCTAACATCAAGGTATTTCACAATCAGATCTGACAGACACGCCGAGTGACCCATAACACTTTGAAACCCATGCTAACATGTGGCTTGATCGTGTCGAATATGAAGAACTTATTAGTTCCTGCCGAGGTTACTTACTTGTTATTAGATACGTCCAGTTTTCATAAACAATTCCACCATGATACTAACAGGCTCTCTGGGGACCAGCTGCTAAGGTGCTAACGACTTTATTAGGTTAGCAACTGGTATTTATATAGATTACAGTCAAGTAAATCACGCGTTTCAATTTAGTTACTCGTCAGCAGACAGTCAGGACGCTTGTTGCAAAGAAAAACAGGGTCATGGGTTTCTATTCATGCGCACTGATATTTTTGCCATTGTTTTTTGGCCTTTCCACTCTTTCCAGACAGAAGCAGTGGCGTGCTAAAATAGGCTATGATGCTGTTTGTTCTATGAAATCTTCAAATCTGATTGCCTTTAGTGCTTTAGATGTTTTGCAGCATTTTTCAGAGCACTGCCACATCTTCAAATGAAGCATCAGGGTTTTAGGTTTCTATTCTTAAACTGAGGGACAAATTCTAGAACGCTAACAGCTTCAAAAGTAGGTGATGCTATGTGATGCTGCATATGATGAGATGTGAAATACTTTATTTATCCCTTAATAGGAAAATTCCTCTGTTACAGTAGTTGAAATGATGAGGAAATTATAATATTGTCTGGCAGCTGCCTGTCTAGGAAGTGAACAGGCTGGTCTGGATTATCCGTGGATGGATAAAAATTTGTTCAGTGACCATCTCTCCACCACAGCTTCAAAAACATCCAGTTTGCAGTCAGTCACAGACCCTGGTTTTCCTAATTGTTTTATTCAGTCTGTTGGTGTCAGCAGCTCCGATGCTGCTCCTCCAGCAAACCACAGCAAAGTCAAAATTGAATTTAAGTTTGAAAGCATTTATAAAACGTTTTATTAAGAATCACTGTATTTTGAACATTTCAAACCCATCCATAACACTTTAAATGTAGGGTTCTGTAAAGAATTAATTATTAAAACTGCAGCTTACGTGGCAATGTATGGATTTGCTGGGAGCTTATTCGGTTCAAACATCAAAGGTCTAGAAGGCTGCTCAAGAAAGATTAAGAACACTGAAGGAAGTGTTTGCATTTAAAAAAAAAAAAACCCAAACATAACCACCAAAAAAAAACTTGCTTCACAATCATCGGTCATGCTCTTTTGTCTTGGTTTCTGTTGCCTAACTTGCTCTTACTCTAGACTATTTTGAAAGAGAGCATTAATGTGGTGTGGCTCAGTTTGCTCTGAGTCATTTTATATTTCTGGGGACAGCGTGGATTGTTACTATGCTTATTATCCTCAGCCAGCACAGGGAGGATGCTGGTGGGGACTTTGATGTGCAAATTTTCAAGCAGGTGCATTAGTGCATGCCTAATGGATTGTTGAAGGCTTTTGCTTTGCCAGAAGCACACAGATGTCTCTTTCACCAACTACCTACACAGAATATTTGTTTCAAGTCCCATGAAGCTGACAAAATGAGCAAATAACCTTTTTGCGAAGCTTTCCACCAGTTTCAACTTAATATAGTAGAAAATTTTGCTAAACAGGAGAACGGGGTTAAGGCAGGGAACGAGTTTGGGAATGCATACTCGCGTTTTTAGAGGCTTCTTAGTAGGGTCACCATAAAGGCCTATTCTGAAACAGGAAAAGGAAACACATTTGAAACAGCTTCATATTTTAATTAAATTATTGATATGTGGCTGCAGTTTACTGATAATTTTTTGCAAAATGAACTGATTTAATGAATCTCATTATTGGGGTTTTTGTGTAAACACAGCCTTCCTATTTAATTTCTTTAACCACTGTCTTTTTCTTTTTCTTTTTTTTTTTTTATTAAAGGTGTTTCTTCAGTATCTGCAGAAATCCATAGACCTGTTGATATCCAAGTCTTTTATATCATTGAAAATAAGTTGTTGCATGCATCTGTACTACAGCCTGCCAAACTATTGTTGGTTTGTGTACAGCACAGACAGTACATGCTGAATGTACTGAATCTAATATTACCACCATATTCCACATCTTTGTTTGAAAAAAATAGTTTGCATGGCCAACTTGCAATTTGGGGAATTGCTATATTAAGAATAACAGTGGAGTATACTGTAAATGTGCATGTAACATAGTGCCTGGTTGCAAAAACTGCAAAGAATTTCCACATCTGACTGACTGTAGCTTATGTCTTTAACCTCTGATCATTCCTTAATGATCATCATCAATGTTTTATCTCAGCTGCCAGGTCAAGCCTGAACATGGAGTCCATGCTGAACAAATTGAAAAGCACTGTCACTAAGGTGACAGCCGATGTCACTAGTGCTGTTATGGGTAACCCTGTGACACGGGAGTTTGAGGTCGGGCGACACATTGCAAGTGGAGGTCCCGGCTTGAGCTGGAGGATCTATAATGGCACCAAGAAGTCCACCAAACAGGTGTGTGTGTGTGTGTCAGTGTCTCTCTCTCTCTGACCAGACCACCTCTTGACACAAGTTTAGATTTGATCCAAGTTCATAAATGATTTACTCAACATTTGCTGAAAGGGGAAAAGGAATTAATTTGAGACTGAAAACCGCACTGTCACCATGTCGTTGTATGTCTTTTACCCTCCAGGAAGTAGCAGTTTTTGTTTTTGACAAGAAAATGATTGACAAGTATCAGAAATTTGAGAAGGACCAAATCATCGATTCACTGAAAAGAGGAGTGCAGCAGCTAACCAGACTGCGTCACCCTCGTCTCCTGACTGTTCAGCATCCCTTGGAAGAATCACGGTGATTAACACACACACACAAATTCACACATGTATGTCATGGATGAAACTGAATGAGTCACTGCTCAGAGGATATCTTGACATTTGAGATGAAAATGGATCATGGCAAGTAAAGGTTAAGGCCTTGTGCTTTCTTTCTTTTCATCCATGACAGCTCTAAATTCATAATTCTCTTCTGTCTGTTTTTACTCTTTCTGTCTTGTTTATTTTCTGTCTGTTATTGCTTTGAATTGAACTGATGACATTTATTTATTTGGCCCTCAGAGACTGCTTGGCATTCTGTACAGAGCCGGTGTTTGCCAGCCTGTCCAACGTGCTTGGCCAATGGGACAACCTGCCCAGCCCTGTGCCCAGCGACATCAAGGAGTACAAGCTCTATGATGTGGAGACCAAGTATGGCTTGCTACAGGTGAGCATGTAGGCAGAATAGATTTCTTTTTGTATGGCTGCGTGTTTCTTGATGAATAATTAAAAAAAAAAAAAAA